GGCATCCAATCACTTCCATTTGAAATATCAAATCGAATAATAATCCTTTCGAGCCACCTTAAATCGAGAGTACACAGTGCACTCCTTGCTAGGGAATAAATAAATTATTTTCATGACAGGATTTTGTCAGCGGTTACAGCAGTCAGAAAGCAGCGCTGTTAATTTGTCATCTCCCTCTTCCCCGCTCTCTCACTTCGTCCAACGCCACGACTTCCCGGTTTGTCAGGGCGACCTGTGGGAGTGTATGTGTCGGATCAATAGCCCACCCACAGCAGAGCCGCGGGCCATCCCTGACCTGGGCTATTGATTAGGCTTGGCTCAGCTGCCAATAGCAATGTGCTGGATGTGACACCAGGATAAGATGGGAGCTGAGGAAGGGGGATTCTGAATTGCCAGTGGCAGCCCCATAGCACACCGCAGATAAAAGTCAATTCCACTTAACCAAATCACTGACAACTAAATAGTTAGCACACAGAAGAATGCTATGAGTCTGTGATGGCAGCTGCTGGATGGCTGGGGATTTCCTAGCCCCTGACCTGTGTCGAAGAGCACAAAAGGCCAGGGCTGAAACACTGTGACACATGTTTGTCTGTCTTTCATTGTGGTTTCTCTTCACTCGGCAAGCTACACCTGTGTCATTAATAAATCTGGAACATCTTTAATCAAGGGCTGATTACTGATAAAATACATTTAGACATTTAGTAAAAGTTACTATTTTCAGAAAATCCACAGTTAACTATAGCTTTGGGTCATTCTAGTAAACTATTTTAATTATAATGTTATTGTTTGTCGACAGTAAATTTAGTATTTGCCAAAGTTAAGCTATTAATTTACAATTTATTTGCAGTGGTTGTTATATATATGACATTGTAAGTAATACTGGTTCCAATAAGGAACACTTATAGTTTTTATACTTCTTAGATGTGCTTCATGAGCCTGCGTACATGGAAGCAATGCAGCTGTACTGATATTGTCAGACTCCTTTTGATCCATCTTGCTCCCGGTCATTACCAGCCCATATTAGAGTAGTTTACATGTCACTTTACCGGTCCTCGTGAATGTAATTCTGTGGCTACTGCCTCCATGTGCATTCAGCACCTATCTATGGCACCATATCTCTTCCTGTAATTGCTGAGTGACAGAAAAGCAATACTGACCACTTCATTATAGGACAGCCAGACTGACTGGACACTGGCCTCTTTGCTCTAGGTCACTCTGGTCAGACTGACCTTATCTGCCCAGGTCGTCAGGGGTCAGTCACCCAGAATCTATGAGGACGTTACAAGACTTGCTGTGGGTCCCGTACAGCAAGGTCGCCTGACCCAGGCAGACTGCTTATATCACAGGTATTGATTGCAGATTGTCTACTTCAACTGACGCTAGCCTAATCTCCCGATAGTGGGGTCTCAGGGGCTTTAGTGTGAAGTTAAGTACTAAAAGTAACAAGAGGGAAGCTACTGGATACTAGTGATGGTATGCAAAAAATATGGGGAAAAAGTTTTATTTTTGCATTGCTGTTTGGGGATGAAGCTCTGCGAATGCCAATTTTATAGAGTAATGAATTAAGTAGGAAAATGCATTGTACAACTACAGTAGGGTAGTGTTGTAGCCTGTTCCTTCTTGCTGTCTGGTAAACAAACAGACATGGACAGCATGCAGGAAAAAAAATCTGCTGTTTGATCTCAGTGTGCTTAATTTAAAATCTTTGTTCAAATCCTTATTATTTCCAAAGAAAATGAACTAATCCACCTGCAAAAGTTAGCTGCAAGTCTTTCAGTTTGCCGTGTTTATCTACTACATATGGATGAAGATATATGACATTGTTAGTCAGCACCTATATGTGTATTTGCATGCATGTCTTTGGCAGCTTGTCTGTGTGAGACCCTTTATGTACATACTAAAGCATCCCTGATGCTCGTTAGATCCCGTCTCTCGGCAGCTGCTTGGCACCGTTCATATTAAATCACAATAATGGCAGATGAGCTCTTGCACTAGAGAGACAAGCATCTATTTGAAACTGCATTTTATTACACTTTGTTCCATTTAATCAAAAAAAACTATGTGAAAAGATAACCCGGTTTTAAAAATCCCAGATAAACAGCAACGATTGCATCTTTAAATAATAAATGATCTTCTGCCTCTTACAGACGGGAATATAACTGAAAATAATTGAAGACAACAATGTCCTATAAGAGCACCACTCGAGCACTGCTGATTCAGAATCCCTCATAACTTCAAACATTCAGTCATAAAGTATAGATAATCCGTAAAAGAACGGCATGCGTCTGTTTACAATTTCCTTCTAATTAAAGCTACAGGATAGGCTCTACCTTTGTTAAAGTTGATGTGTGTTTGTTAGACTTGCCAAAAAACTGTACCACTGGCAAATTAGGGGTGGAATACAAAACGAAACAAACAATAACACTCTAATATGATCTGCAGTCAAGGAATAAATATTTCACAATCTGTCTACATTTGACACACTTTCAGTTTGAGAACAAAGGATTCTGAAACAACAAATTGCCCAAACTTAGTCTTGAGACAATAACCTTTTTGACCTGAATTAATTCACACAATAGTGACTTCAGCCTGACTGGGTATGTAATTGGTCCTCAATTTGTTTAGAATTTAATGACATATTGTTACTTCTGTTGGTGATTAATCAAAAGGGAAAACCCCCCGAATCAGATCAATAAGTTAAACAAAATCCAATCATGACTGTAAGGCATGTAAAAAAAAAGCATTAATTGGGCAAAAGATGACGGTATGCTACTTTATAACAGGGTGAACTGAAAGTAATGGAAAAATCAGGTAAGCAGGATGCTGATGAAGGTGATGCATTTCCATCTTCCTTCTATGAACCACGCCTGCAGTGTGCAAGTGTGTCTAAGAGGGATAAGGTAGTGCTTGATGATTAATCACTGGACATAATAAAGCTTCTCCCCATGAGCACACAGTCCAGCTGATTCTATGATATGATTGGGGCCGATTAAAAAAAAAAGAAATAATTATTCCTTACAGTGCATTCATAGTACACTCTAATGACATCTTCTGATTGGACCTTGCGGAGAAGATAATAAGGGCCGTCTTCAGAGTGGTCTCTAAGATTATTTCTTTAACTTCATGAAATGGGGCCACGGGCCTGGATGCTGCAGATTTGAGGATTAAGATAAGATGACCTTTCACATTATGTTGCCATGTATAAAAGATGAAGTTTACAGTGCCTCATTACATTAGGCCTTATCAATGGTTGGAGCCTCTGTGAAGTCCCTTTGAACATCACAATGGTTTTTTGAGGCTGGTTTACAACAGGCTTCTACCCCCCCAGTGTGGGATTACACTGCCTGTGTGTGTGTTTGGGTTATGGTTTGGCTAACAACTGTTAATGTTCTAAAACAATTCAAAAATACTATACAAGGTATATATATATATATTAGGGGTGCAACGATATTCGTATCGATATTGAACCGTTCGATACAGTGCTTTCGGTTCGGTACGCATATGTATGAACAATACAGAATTTGTAATTTATTTTATCAACTTTCCTTCTGACGATGCTGTCTGTGTTGAGAGCTCAGTGGATCTGCGTTCGACTACTCCGCCTAGGCTGCACTGTCGAGCGCAGATCCACTGAGCGCAG